TATGGAATTTGGAGATTGAAACGGGCAAAAAAATCTATCTCAAAATAAAATAGCCCTAATTCCTAAAGCCCGGATGCTCTCACATGAAAATTGGAACTATGCCGGGCCTCTTGATCTTGAGCTGTATATCCTTTACTTGTTATTGTCTCGTTATCCACCCCAAAATCGTACTACTTTTGCACGCTTTATTTATAAGAAATACATACCAAAGAAATAACTTCTTGAAGCAGCAGTGAAATAACAGTTTTTTTAAAACTTCTAAGACAAAAAAGTAACAAATTGTCAGTGATTAGTACCTGTATTCTGCCGGCGACGCCAGAACTGTCCATCCTGCTTGCAACGTTCACCGAGTTACCCCAGATATCGTAATGCGGTTTCTTGACGCCAATTACTCCCGCTACTACCGGGCCAACGTTTATACCTGGAATGTCCGTTATACGACAAAACTTCCCTTGATACAGTACTGTTTTTTAGGTAATACTATGCCGTAATCGTTCACATGTCAAACGCATCACTCCCTGTTTCAAAACGATGTGCTGCAGTAACCATATCCTTACCCCATCCTCTACGCCTCTCGTTGACTTTTGGATGAAAAAGAGCTAAATGCGATATAACCGGTAAGGTACCACTATGTGGATCAGACAGGAATATTCTTTCGCTTTGTAAGGGTAGATGCAAAACAAAATTTTTTTGAGAACGAGAAACGAGCGTTTTCTAAAAATATTGATTCAACGGAATACCGTACCTATCCTGAGATTGAAACTGTTGAATGAATGTTCGTTGATGTACTGTATGAGTGCGAGAAGTCGAATAGCAAAGCGAGTTACCGCCACAACATGCGAGTTATCGGTTACCTCACCGAACAGACCCGATGCAGCCATATATGTAGTCGAGATCGTCTTGATCTTTTCGATACATTTGAATTCTTCGCGACTTAGCTGCTAAAAATGCAAATTAGTAAAACTATTTGAATTCTTCGCAAATTGGCATGAAAATTTAATTGGCCAAGACTTAAAATACCTGGATCGCCCAGGCAGTCAATTGGTATCTCAGATTAGTAATTTTATTGGAATGCTTTTATATGCCTGGTGCAACTAGGACAAGTCTCATTTCTTGGGCTGCATACTCCTCTTAGTACTCAACGCTTCTTCAATTTATGTGTGCCACTTCTTCGGAGGCCAACCAAAAGACCAATGGCGTAGTCACAAAAATTCGCATTTAGATAGCGATATTATGTTAAGGAAATTAGTCTAGGGCTAATAAAATTGGACTTTCAACCGGCTTGGAAAAGAATCAATCCGGTTTTGAATGTCTGGACGTGCAATAGATTACGGCATTGTTGCAAAATTAATTCCGTACTTTCGTTGCCGTCCTGGAAACTTGGGGCTACTGTGGACGAGCAAACTAATTGCCCAATTAAGAATCGCTAGCCGTTAAAAATTGAAAGGAGCGAGCGATGTGCAGCTCGATTTGCATATTATTTCATTAGGGTTGTTAGAATAATTAGGGATGAAAGCATAGCTCTTGCTTGGTTTAGCTCTAATTAGATTCTACTTTTATGCAACTGGCAACTTTTCCAGTCGTTCTGACCAGTGCTGCATCGCCTAGTGGTCACCTTGATGGCAATTTTGACGTTCGTTTCGTTTTATAATTATTACCGTGTCAAAATCCACGATAATTTCGTTGAGAAGCCGCAAGCATTCGACGCCTTCATTGTTCGCATCAAGTTCCATATAGAACTTGTCAAAATCGGTTATTGTAATGAACACTATGGCTGCATTATCTCGACCTTCCGAATACAGTTCTGTCCTATAAAAGCATTTTATCACGGTTCAGAAGCGTTTTGAAAGATGATTTCGAACTTCTGATTTTGTGCACAGTCAGGTACTTATAATTAAAAATTGCAAAGGTGTGTTTTTCTTAGCTCTTGAATTATAAAAGTATACTAAACTTTGAATTAAGGTCAAAGATCCAAAAGGCCAGGAACCGCGAAGCAACTTGCAAGTAGATTTAATTTCTGTGGTTAGTATATAGTTACGGACTTTTGTCACTGGATTTCAGTTCCCAGTTCTCCCAGTTTCAGAGTAAAAACACATCCTAAAATGTGTTGCAAGGGACTTCTTTGGTTCTCGAATAATTAAGGCATGGAGTGATTTGCCTTCCGGATATGTTCGTGCTCAGTCCGTTTGAAGGTTCTCTAGCACCATTAACAGCGCTGCTTTGTGGCCTCTTCTTCGCAGACATTATATGTTAAGGTGCTAAGTTTCTGTTAAGCTGTGAGTCTTCTCTGTGTTTCTGTGTCTTTTGTGTTCGCTTGTTACGTACCAGTCGCATCACACGTGTGTGTATGCAAATGTGTATGTGTCTTGCCTGGTGATTGAATAAAATGTGAATATACATCAGACCAAGGTCTTTCAATGCCGTTTTCTTATCCTAATGCAGCATAAGAGCGCGAAATGACAAACAGTTTAAAAGCACCCCTCATAGTTAATGTAACTATTATAAACTCAGACACTTTGACTGTTCTGCTTTGCGCACTAAATGCTTGAGTTTTTGAACGGAGTATCTGTGTAGCAGAATTAGTTTAAGTGACCTTTGAAGAGGATTCTCTTTGAGGAAATGTTCAGCAACATGCGCTGGCAGGATATTCTCGAGGACGGCTCGATTTTGTGAATGCTTTTTCTCCATTTCACGGCCCTCATCCAGTGCCTTGAAAATTCAGCTGTCTTCAGCAGTAAGCCTTTCCCTCTTACTGCGCATTTCAAAAACGATTATTTGATTACATAGCGTGATTTTGACAGAATGGTGCCTTATCTTGTGTAAATTAGATATTATTTTGGCTGGTACTGAGTTTCAGCTTGAACGGAAAATACTGATCCAAAAAGCATATGCTCTTTGTCGGAATTTGGGAGCATAAGTAAATTCGAAGGCTCATTTAATTATTGTTTTCCGGACTATTCACAGTTTGCACTTGAAAAACATCAAGATATTGTTCGGCAAAGGTCAAATTACCTGGAGCTTCCAGATGAAATCGAAACGTGCAATAAGCTCCGATCTGCGGCTCTGGATTACTGTCAGAACAAATGCGAATAGGATCACAAACGTGAAAAAAATTCGCAAATCACTGAGTGGATTCACCAAACTATAATTTCAGCATATTTAGAAATCTTTAATACATTTATAGGGCACTAGCCAGAGTTGTACAATGCAGGATCAAAGGATTTAGTATGGATGCGCCCGGTCTGTGGAAACATCCCGGCAACATCACTAAAATACGATATCCCTCCTGATAAACCTGGCTGCCCTGATATTCTCGGCAGAAGCCTATAAGGCTTGCAAAATTGCATGAATTATATAAGAAACCTGTCACGGGAGCCTTTACAAAAAATTTATGTTTATACCCTGTAATTTATGTTCGACTTAGATATATCTTGAACATTCCTCGTAAGCATATCAGCACAATCAAATTACTGAACAGATCACATTCGCATTGGATGGGAAAGAATCTAAAGTACAGAATGTACCAGCTTACTTGGAAAATTGCCAAGTTCTGAGATAGAAAATCCGTTTACCTGCAGAGCATTTCCATTCGATCAACAAATGGTACGTTCTCATCAGGCACATTCCGAACGTCCCAGTATCCAACCGGTTGACTGGTATAACCTGGGAACGCTGTGATCCAGAGCATTATCAATGCAACTAAGCACAGCATCAACGAGAGTAGTATTTTTTCCAGGGCAAGAAACGAATTGAATACACAAACCGACAGCAGTATCAACAGGACGCTCTGAAATCAACCAGGAAAAAATTACTTACTTTAGCAGTTCTAAGCTTAGCTGAGGGAAATTTTCCCTCAAAAAGTTTTAATCATAATTTTCAAAAAGTGTCTCTTACAATGTTAAACAACTCATTGGAGGACCGTGCCCATCTCTTTAATATTATTGAATTGAGGATAATGACATACGGATGCGAGACGTGGTTAGTGACGAAAGTTGAAGAACAAGCACTAGCTGTGACGGAGAAAGAGTTGAGACGAAGACTACTTTGCTTGTTTTGACGTGACAATATATACAGTCCGACTCTCCGCAGAAGCATATCACCGATCATGCGGGAAGCTAAAATCCGACGGGCAGCACGTTGCTTACCTTGCTGACAAGTCCTGGACTTTGCATGTGGAACCCACGAAAAGCAAATGAACAGTCTGACGAAGTGGTGCAGACACATCGAAAAAGCTATGAATACAAACTGAAGGAAAGCAATGCAGAATCGAGAACACGAGTGTGCTAGATGTTGTGAGAGCATTCCAGTAACGTCACGTTGATTGTCCGGTCAGTTTTGGTACTTTTAATAGACTTTTTTTCATAAAACATGTCTCTCAATAAATTAACTAACATCCAAATAATATACGACTACGTAAGCAGTGAAAATAAAATAGATTAAACAACCTCAAAATAAATAGGACGATTGATCGTAGGATCGCATGGTTCCGCTATAATTTTTGTTGAATTAATACAGTGATAAGCGCATTCTGAAGACTGCCACTGTAAAATTTACAATCATTTTTTTCACAAAAATCGTTAATAATGCAGATTTTCAAAAATTTTTTTTTTTGAAAGCGACGACATAAACGCTGTACACAAAAGTGTGGTACTCACAATGATTCGATGGAAGAAAAAACAAATAGCCGACGAGAGGAGCACAAATACAGCGAGAAACCTCAGGAAACTGTTTTTATATGTTTTATTTCGACAACAACGCTGAAAAATAATTGCAGCATTTATTCCCTCAGCAATAAAAAGTTTTAGCACATAAGATATTGGTGGAAGTCATCTGTGTAAATTTAAGAAGTCTTTTGACTGTCCAGCATCTACCAAAAGAGTCAGCGAAATCGCTAGTGCGTAATGGGTCAACTTGGTACTTGAGAGACCCTGAGTGACCACATTTTCTCTTCTGTAATTTGTCATTCACCAAAACACTGGCATAATGGTTTTCCCATAATAATTTTTAAAGCACGGCAAGGCACAGTAGTTGGTAGCGCTGCCCTCATGCTTGAAAGTCGAAGATTTCAGCTGTTAGGGTAAAACCAATCCCTCTACGCTAAGTTTACTCGTTTGGATGGTAAACTACTATTGCCACATATCAGGAAGTCAAACTCGCCATCAGATTCGCTTGCTTTTTTTTATGC